CAATATTTCAAAACCTGTGCCTGTCCCTGAGCATATTTTGGCAGGGGCTTTCAATTCTTCAGTCTCTGAAATTGCTTCCTCTGTGAAAGTTGGAACAGTGCTTCGGAAGATACTATAGGCTTCAGAAGCCAATTTTTCTATTTCTTGAAGAATGCTTTCTTGTGCTTCTTTGGACTTCGTCTTTTGATTCTTCTCAGAGGAAATGTCACTCACTAAGTTCCTTATTTCATTTATTATTCCATTGGTATATGCAGTAATTTTTTTTTTCTTGAAATGCTTCTGTACTACGGTCAGGTACCTTTGCATCTTCAGATGGAACCTCTCTTGGTATAGCAATAGCAATTGAGTGATTTGAGCTGGACAGAGGGATGTAGAAGTCATTGCCCGCACATTTCAACCACGTACTTTCATTTAGTTTGAAAACAAAAAGAAATCCTGCGAGTCCTTCTTCCAAAGTAAACAATGCCCAACATCCTTTTCCACCCTCTTTTTGCTGCACACAGGATACCCATGAGAATTCAACCAAACAAAAAAAGGATACCCATGAAAATAACAAAATTGATCAAGAAAATAATCCATTATTGATCAGGTTAATTGAAAATTTCTCAAGTAGGCACAACACAACTAGGAAACCTTGATTTTAAAGTTTTTTTTTTTCTGGAGAAGAACATTGAGTATAATGACAGTAAATTTAAGATTAATGATTAACTAAACAATTGCAAGCAAGAAGATGATTATAGCCAGAACTTACATGCATTCACCATTTCTCTATCATCTAAATAATGTACACCAAGTACGTGTGCACTGAACTGCTAACAAAATCTTCAGATTGGGTTTTGATCATATAAATGCTCTCAAAAACAATCCCATGTCTCCATTGTTCAAAATCATGCTCCAACCAACACAAAGGTATTTGTATGCCTGAAGAGTTAACTAAAACTAACAATGTAGCATGAGTTTCATGATCTTCAAAGATGATGACCTAATTAGTAATTTAAGTAGAAATTTAAAAGGCACATATTTGTGCATGATGAAGCGAGCACAAACTCGCACCCAACTCCTTGATCTCCAGTTATTATGTTGTCCTGCAAAGTATTAGAAATTGTTTCTTTGAGCAAAAATCTAAAATTTAAAAAAAAAAACAGAAAGAATAACAGTGATCCCATAATTAGAATAGTAACATTGTGTGATAGTATCTAAAAGAGGTATACATATATTCAATGTTATATTACCCAAAAAAAAAAACCAATAGCAAAGCCGTCAAGAAATAATTGCACGAGAAAGGGGAGGGAATAGAAAAGAAAAGAAAAGGTCATAGAAACCTGTAATCGAGTCCGCAAAGCCTTGTCCTTGAATACTGCTGTTTCTGGTGGATGTGGGGCAGCTGGAATTTCCCATCTTTTAGTATCATCTCTACAAACTCCCCAGTGAACAACAACATGATCAGGCAAATCTGTTTCTAAGCATAGAAGATTCTTAGCTGTCTCAGGGCACTTCCTTACAGAAACAGTTACTGAATTATTCACAGCAATTTCTTTTGCAATGGCCAGTTCTTCATAGAACTCTTCTACACGCCTAGTTTTCTGTTGAGGGTCTCTGGGTTCATTGCTGCTATCTTGATCTTTGGAGTACGGTGATTCTGCTTTGACAAACGCATTTGATAGCTTCCCCAAAGCTCCTAGAATTGAAAAGAAGACAAGCAACTTTCTTTCATTTCAAGTTGGATAACTCTCGAGAAAAACTGAAGATCCTAAACCAACCACCCATAACCCACCTCCACAGCCGACAAGAGTGGGCATGTTTGGGCTCTACAACTTAGTAGCAGTGACTGCGAGACAGCCACTTGGCTCAACTATTGGCATTGACATAAATTCACGCTAGATAAACTCAGGAAGAATTCATGCTACTAAACACCTGCTTTCCATTTCAGTATATAACTACAAGAATAACTAGACAAGGAATCATTTATACATATTGACCTTACTAGTCTGTTTTGAAAGTGGGTCCTGTCCTCAAATTTTTTTTAAAGATGTATAGAAACAAGGGAGTCAGTTTCACTATTATGTTTTACTAGGACACTCATCACTCCTCCAGGATTTTGTTACACCATTTCTTGGAAAATCACAAATTGGTTCAGGCTGCAAATCGTTGGTAAGTGTAAAAGATCCAACAGTATTACGAACAAAATAAATCAAGTAGACCAGAGAATAGAATGGCTTTGACAACCTGGCCATGCGCCACCATTTTGCTCCAACCACATTTTCATCCTCTGGCGGGTAGTCCACAAGAGGCACTCTAAAATCTCTCCCTCTATGCTGATACCAAGCACCAGTTTCTTCATCCTGCACCACCAAAAAGATGCACAATAACAGCCTGCATATCTAACATAAAGGGACGAAATTCTCAACTGTTAATAGTTGAAAATTAGAACCTTGAGAACAAAATTTATCGCTGCAATTGCACTGTTGGGTTTAACATCAATCTTCACTTCATGAGATTGATCACCTCCTACGGGCAACGCTGATTTATTCAAGGGTGTATCTATTGCATAGTCCTGAGCTCCTTACTCTCTGAGTATGTTCACTCTCGCAACAGGTACAGATGATTGTTTGGCGACAAAAAATCGCTACGTTGTGGATCCGAAGCGTGCCGCCTCGGATCGACAACGTAGCGATTTATTGTCGCCAAACAATCATCTCGCTCAACAATCAGATATCTCTACCTGTTTCGAGAGTGAACATACTCAGAGAGTAAGGAGCTCATGGAGAATCGATGAGGAGGACAGAGGACTACGAATCGGGGAAGAATGGAGGCGAGAATTAAGGGGCGAGGATTCTGGAGCAGCCAAACCCTAGGGAAGAATGGAGGCGAGAATTGAGGGGTGAGACTAAACCCTAAGCAGCCAAACCCTACGGAAGAATGGAGGTGAGAATTGAGGGGCGAGGATTCTGTAGCAATGAAACCCTAGGGATATAAAGCCTTAATTGAGGAACTTAAATGAGAATAGATCGCAACCGTTGGATAAAATTAGACGGCTGGATTAAAAGAGCATCTTAAGTTGCATCCGGGTTGAAGACAACCCGAAATAAAGACCCAATGCTTGACAAATATACCGATGAAACACCGCTGGCTCTTCGTTGAGCTCGGACGAGATTTGAATTGTAGGAACATCACATTACATATATGTTAAAGAAATTGACTAGAGTTAGTTCGTTGCTGCAAATACCTACGATTTTATTTTGTCGTGGTCCTGATAAAATCTGTGTTTACACTGATAGTTCCGGCGGGTTACGGGTAGCAAAACTACAGTTTGATGCCGTCCTCTTCTACCGTAAAAGATAGAGCCCTTATCAAGCACAAACAAGTGAGAAAATTACAAAGATAGAGCATCTTAAGTTACACCTTCTGTTCTGTATATATTTTCAGTTGATCAGATATAGCTGTTCTGCAATTTCTCTTGATGATCAGTGTTTCCAGAGCTGGAAACTTGTAGTGGTGTTCGTTTATTTCTTATAAATTTTACTCTTTCCTGTGTGTTCTCGGCGACCATACAGAGCGTCAAGTTTTATTTCTGAGTTTAGCGATGTCTTATTTAGTCTACTTGAACTTGTAGGTGGAGGGGAAGATCTTTGTCAGATTAGATCATGGGAAGAATGCCAAGAATTGGATGCTGACCGTTGGTTGTAGTCTTCCTGGAAAATGGGTTCTTCACTGGGGAGTTTCTTATGTTGACGACGTTGGCAGGTAAAGCTTCCACTTAATGTTAGATTGCAATTACTCTCTGTCTCTCTCTCTGTCTCTCCATGGTGTTATACTAATCTCATAATAACTTAAGGAATGCATATTTATTTTTTGCAGTGAATGGGATCAACCTCCTAGTGAAATGAGGCCACCTGGTTCAATTCCCATCAAGGTATGTATTGGGTTCTTAAGTTTGATTGCGGAGCTCCGTTCAATATGAATTTGAAATACTTGTGGAATTTCAGGACTATGCAATAGATACACCCTTGAATAAATCAGCGTTGCCCGTAGGAGGTGATCAATCTCATGAAGTGAAGATTGATGTTAAACCCAACAGTGCAATTGCAGCGATAAATTTTGTTCTCAAGGTTCTAATTTTCAACTATTAACAGTTGAGAATTTCGTCCCTTTATGTTAGATATGCAGGCTGTTATTGTGCATCTTTTTGTGAGAATTTCTGCCCTTGTTGGGGGGTTTTTGGTGGTGCAGGATGAAGAAACTGGTGCCTGGTATCAGCATAGAGGAGAGATTTTAGAGTTCCTCTTGTGGACTACCCGCAAGAGGATGAAAATGTGGTTGGAGCAAAATGGGGCCTGGGCGCATGGCCAGGTTGTCAAAGCCATTCTATTCTCTGGTCTACTTGATTTGTTTTGTTCGTAATACTGTTGGATCTTTTACACTTACCAACGATTTGCAGCCTGAACCAATTTGTGATTTTCCAAGAAATGGTGTAACAAAATCTTGGAGGAGTGATGAGTGTCCTAGTAAAACATAATAGTGAAACTGACTCCCTTGTTTCTATACATCTTTAAAAAAAAATTGAGGACAGGACCCACTTTCAAAACAGACTAGTAAGGTCAATATGTATAAATGATTCCTTGTCTAGTTATTCTTGTAGTTATATACTGAAATGGAAAGCAGGTGTTTAGTAGCATGAATTCTTCCTGAGTTTATCTAGCGTGAATTTATGTCAATGCCAATAGTTGAGCCAAGTGGCTGTCTCGCAGTCACTGCTACTAAGTTGTAGAGCCCAAACATGCCCACTCTTGTCGGCTGTGGAGGTGGGTTATGGGTGGTTGGTTTAGGATCTTCAGTTTTTCTCAAGAGTTATCCAACTTGAAATGAAAGAAAGTTGCTTGTCTCCTGTTCAATTCTAGGAGATTTGGGGAAGCTATCAAATGCGTTTGTCAAAGCAGAATCACCGTACTCCAAAGATCAAGGTAGCAGCAATGAATCCAGAGACCCTCAACAGAAACTAGGCATGTAGAAGAGTTCTATGAAGAACTGGCCATTGCAAAAGAAATTGCTGTGAATAATTCAGTAAATGTTTCTGTAAGGAAGTGCCCTGAGACAGCTAAGAATCTTCTATGCTTAGAAACAGATTTGCCTGATCATGTTGTTGTTCACTGGGGAGTTTGTAGAGATGATACTAAAAGATGGGAAATTCCAGCTGCCCCACATACACAAGAAACAGTAGTATTCAAGGACAAGGCTTTGCAGACTCAATTACAGGTTTCTATGACCTTTTCCTTTCTTTTCTATTCCCTCTCCTTTCTTGTGCGATTATTTCTTGACGGCTTTGCTATAGGTGTTTTTTTTTTTTGGGTAATATAACATTGAATATATGTATACCTCTTTTAGCTACTATCACAATGTTACTATTCTAATTACGGGATCACTGTTAATTTCTTCCTCTTTTTTTTTTTAGTTTAGATTTTTGCTCAAAGAAACAATTTCTAATACTTTGCAGGACAACATAATAACTGGAGATCAAGGAGTTGAGTGCGAGTTTGTGCTCACTTCATCATGCACAAATATGTGCCTTTTAAATTTCTACTTAAATTACTAATTAGGTCATCATCTTTGAAGATCATGAAACTCATGCTACAATGTTAGTTTTAGTTAACTCTTCAGGCATACAAATACCTTTGTGTTGGTTGGAGCATGATTTTGAACAATGGAGACATGGGATTGTTTTTGAGAGCATTTATATGATCAAAACCCAATCTGAAGATTTTGTTAGCAGTTCAGTGCACACGTACTTGGTGTACATTATTTAGATGATAGGGAAATGGTGAATGCAAATAAGTTCTGCCTATAATCATCTTCATGCTTGCAATTGTTTGGTTAGTCATTAATCTTAAATTTGCTGTCATTATACTATATGTTCTTCTCCAGAAAAAAAAAAAAAAACCTTTCAAATCAAGGTTTCCTAGTTGTGTTGTGCCTACTTGAGAAATTTTTAATTAAGCTGATCAATAATGGATTATTTTCTTGATCAGTTTTGTTATTTTCACGGGTATCCTTTTTTTGTTTGGTCGAATTCTCATGGGTATCCTGTGTGCAGCAAAAAGAGGGTGGAAAAGGATATTGGGCATTGTTTACTTTGGAAGAAGGACTTGCAGGATTTCTTTTTGTTTTCAAGCTAAATGAAAGTACGTGGTTGAAATGTGCGGGCAATGACTTGTACATCCCTCTGCCCAGCTGAAATCACTGAATTGCTCTACCTAGAGAGGTTCCATCTGAAGATGCAAAGGTACCCGACAGTAGTACAGAAGCAGTTCAAGAAAAAAAAAATACTGCATATACCAATGGAATAATAAATGAAATAAGGAACTTGGTGAGTGACATTTCCTCTGAGAAGAATCAAAAGACAAAGTCCAAAGAAGCACAAGAAAGCATTCTTCAAGAAATAGAAAAATTGGCTTCCGAAGCCTATAGTATCTTCCGAAGCACTGTTCCAACTTTCACAGAGGAAGCAATTTCAGAGACTGAAGAATTGAAAGCCCCTGCCAAAATATGCCCAGGGATAGGCACAGGTTTTGAAATATTGTGCCAAGATTTTAACTGGGAATCTCATAAATCTGGAAGATGGTGCATGGAACTCCAAAGTAAAGCTGCAGAATTATCTTCACTAGGTTTCACTGTGATTTGGTTACCACCCCCTACAGACTGTGTGTCACCTGTAGGGTACATGCTGAAGGATTTATATAATCTGAACTCCAGGTACCATATCTGAAATTCATAATACACATAATAATTTTGTCATGGTCTTCATAGTTCACTCCAAATAATTGAGCTAGCTCTGTTCTGCTTTCACTTTGATTACTATTTTCACTTGTGTTTTTCAAAAATTTATAACTATTTTTGTAACATCTCTTGAAAAAAAAAAAGTAGTTTGGCACACCTCTGCTTGCTTGGTTTATGCGCATTCTGATCAACATACCAATCACTTGTTGAACCTTAAGGTTTCATTCTTTATCGTTTATGGGAATGGTAGTAAATTTCCTTTTATTTGGTTCAGAGGGTTACTTTTCTTTTCTAGTCTTCATATTGAACTTTCATATAAGAGATGCTAGTTAGTATCATTGTATAGAGTATACTGTAAAAACTAAAAAGTACTGATTGCTGCTGTCTCACACTTCTCAGATACGGAAATATTGACGAACTGAAGGAGACTGCGAGGACATTCCATAAAGTCGGTATAAAAGTTCTTGGAGATGCTGTGCTGAACCACCGTTGTGCAGAATATCAGAATCAAAATGGTATTTGGAATATCTTTGGTGGTCGTTTAAATTGGGATGATCGTGCAGTTGCTGCTGACGATCCACATTTTCAGGTATTTAGTTTTTCTTCCACATTTTCAGTTCTTTAGTTTTTCTGTGCCCGTCTTAATTTCATTTCTAGAATGTTCATGGGTATGCTCAGAAGACATGATATTTAGTTTATTTCATGTGCTTGCATGTGTACATGTGATACTGTAGTTTATGAACTTGTTAGCATGTGATACTGCGGTTTATTTCCTGTGCACAGATGTGCTCATGTGATACGGTAGAATATGACCTTGCTAGCATGTGACAATCATACAAAGTAACCTGAAATTCGTTTCTGGAATGTTCACGGTGCTCAGCATTACAAGGGACAAACATAGTGCATTTAAGGTCCAAATCGACCAAATGGTGACCTAAATTCGTATTTGATTTCAATAATATGAATAATGGAAGGAACTGTTTACTGGAACATGTTACCTGTTCTTTACACTATCTTCTTCCGTCCCCTTTTCTTCACATGTATAGTTAAAAAAACTGATTGTCTAGGTCTGTTCATTTTATGGTTGATTGTATACTAATTTTGGAAAGTATTTTGTAATCTCTATAGGTTACTAAAAGTAATATAGAATGAATGTGATATGTGGGAAGAAGAAATTATATTACTTCTAGATTTGTATTAGACTACTTTTGTTGAAGGGGTAAAAAGTGTGAACCTTGCAGCTTTTGGAATTGCCTTCGTATGTCTATCATATGTGCAGAGTGAATGTTTATATGCCGAAGTTTGCCTAGTACGTTATCTTGGTGACGTTTTGTATGCAGTATGTTTTGAGATTGGTGAAAATGCCTTCTTTCTGTTCTACAGGGCAGGGGCAATAAAAGTAGTGGGGAGTGTTTTCATGCTGCTCCAAACATTGATCATTCACAAGATTTTGTGAGGAAGGATATCAAAGAATGGTTACACTGGCTAAGGTTAATAGTCTGGACTATTTACTCCATTTCCTAAGATGTGCTTATTATTTGAGAATTCAACTTAAGATTTGTACCACACTATGAGTAAACACAATACTGTATGTAAAAGAGAAATGCACATCCTAGAAACTAAAAAGTAGATCATCTCTCTGTTATAGGACGTGTGTAAGTTTGGGCACATTCACATGCTAGATCATAGACTTGAGTTATTGTGCTATGGAAATTACAGTAGAGGTCATAGTACCTTCAAGGGGTGTCTCATAGCATTTCTCGGGATTTTCCATAGAGCAAGTCCTAGTTGCCACCTAGCCTTGAGACCTTTGTTCTTTTGAGAAATAAATGCACTGATGTCTTCTTGAGCGGGTTCATGGTCTTTTGAGTTTAAAGGCAGTCTGTTAAAGGTTTCTTTGATGGTATAAACTTACATTGTTTTTATTTTCATGAGAAAAAAGTAGTATACTTTTACTGGTTGTCTTTTCTTTCCATGGGGCCAATTTATGCTTTCTAGTGAATTGCTTCTAATTTGGGTTTTCCAGCAAGCAATTGGTTCTTTTCATACTTCTCCTTTTCTTGGATTGAATATTTGAAGAGTTCTTGAGATGAGGTTATCTCATGCATTTCTTATACATATGCTGACGTATGGACGTTCCTTCAAAAATTATGGACTTGTTATATTTTATTGTATTGAAGTGCATTTTCCTTATGCTGCATACGTTGAAAGTTTACTCTAGCATTTTGATGTAAATGTATGAGTGACTGTCACAGGGAAGAAATTGGGTATGACGGATGGAGGCTTGATTTCGTTAGAGGATTTTGGGGTGGTTATGTCAAGGACTACATTGATTCTACTGAGCCATACTTTGCTGTTGCGAGTACTGGGATTCCCTATGTTATACATACAGTGAAATGGATCACAATCAAGATGCACACAGGCAGAGAATTGTTGATTGGATCAATGCTACTAATGGAACTGCTGGTGTATTTGATGTCACAACAAAAGGGATTCTCCATGCAGTAAGTGTTCATCTTTGTAATTTTAAATTACAACTGCCAATTTTTTCTCAATTGGTCCCTATAGTACACCACCGTGGTATCAGATGGGCTTGTATTGATTCATAGGTTTATGTCAATTTTATTTTTCTTCATACTATAGTGTTGACTTGTGTGTTGAATTTCTGCATCCATTTAGCGGGTGCTGCATTATCAGGCGTTAAAGTAAAATATTGCTTATAGTTTTTGGCAGAATTCTGGTTGTTCCATAAGAAGCAGTATCACCTAGTGGCAAACCATGTTTCTAAATCAATGAAAAAGGGCTTTTGAGAGTTTTCACCTACTTAGAAAGGACCTAGTTTGCACCTCAAGTATTGGCCTAAAGTTAGCATTTTAAGTGGTACATAATTGATGCAGGGCAGCGGCTATAAGCTGCTGTCCAGCGACCCAAACATACCCAAAATACAGAGAATAGAAGGATAAAGCAGTAGAATCGAAGTTGGAATGAAGATAATTGAGTTCTAGGGCAAAATCCCAACAGAAACTCTATAGACTTACGTCTGAAATTATATTCATAAAAAAAACTAAATACAAAAGTCTCTAAATAGCTTATTTATACTAAAATACACCAGCCAAGATTCCTGTTCCTAGTTTAATAAGAAACCCTAATTGACAAAGGAAATTAAAACCTAAACAGGAAATTAAACCAAATCCTAGTAAGAATAGGAAAACAAGTAATAAAATAACCTATTAATTTAATATAACTAAAACTTAGCCTTATTGGCTGATGCTCACTTAGATTAGGAAGTCTAATAGATGCTCCTGCATCAACTCCACCGGGTTGGGAAGAATTCTTCCTTGAATTCCAATCGTTTGGTGAAAACCGCCTAGACATAACCTCCTCTTAGATAAGTTGTCCATAGAACTTTGGCCTTGATATTGAACCTTCCCACACCAAAGAAATAGATATTTAGAATATTTGATCCTTCTGGAACAGTACCAGATATCTTCTGCAGCCAAACTCTCAGTCCAAAAACTCTTCACGCCAAAAACCCGTAGTCTAACAAGGTCAATGACGTTCTTGGTAGTTTGCAAATTAAAAGAATCAAACCCAAGAAAATCACCATACTCATAAGTATCACCTTTGAAGGAATTCATCTCATCTCCAACAATTCCCCCAAGAATTTCTTGAATCCCCTTTCCTTCAAATGTGGGTTGATTGTGTTGCTTCAAAAGTTCAAACCCAGCTTCTTCGTGATTCACTGCCTTCAAGATTACACTAGATTCAGCTTGTTTACTCTCATCAAATACCTTGTCAAAAGCTTTCTCAATTCCCAAACAAACTTCACAATCTTCTTCCAAACAACAGTCAAACACGGGAGGGTTTTCTAAATTTAGGATATTGTCATCTTCTAATTTATTCGAAGCTCCCTCAACATCCTTCTTAGTAACAAGTGGATACACAGACGCCACCTTCTTGCTCTCAATGTCAAACTCATGGCAGAATCCTTCTTCAAGCGACTGCAAAGTCCACTTTCTCCCATCCTTATAGAATGAATAGGTGTTAGCTTTAGTAGAATGCATCATGTCTTTGTCAAACAACCATGGTCTTCCCAATAAGATATGACATGCGTCTGTGGGAACAACATCACACCAAGCTTCATCCTCAATGGTATTACCAATAGAAATTTAACCAAACACCTTGAAGTGATTGGTACTTCGCTTCCCTTTCGAAACCATGCAACCTTGTAGGGATTAGGATGCTTCTCAATTGGTAACTTCAATTTTTCTACCACCTCCTTTAAAATAATGTTTTCACTACTTCCTCCATCAAGAATCACGTTGCACACCTTTTCCCCACAAAGGACCCGTGTTCGGGATATATTATGTCGACGCCAATCCTCTTCCTCAATTTTGGGAGTTGTCATCACTCGTCTTACCAACAAACATTCTCCTTCAACTGGTAAGAGATCAATAACTTCCTCTTCGTTGCCATAAACATCATACAATGGTTCTGGAAAGTTGATCTTATCACCTACCAAATTTATTCTTCTTTGTGGGCAAGCGTAAGATTTACGCCCCACCTCTCCGCAATTAAAACATCGAGCTTGTGAAGTACTTCCAGTCTTGGAATTCTTGACATTAGCGCTGTTTAGAGGATGAAATTGTGTTATTTCCTTCCCCTTTTCACTCTTATCAGCACCCGAGTTCCTACCACCTATTCGGGATCGACAACGTAGCGATTTATTGTCGCCAAACAATCATCAAGAAATAGAAAAATTGGCTTCCGAAGCCTATAGTATCTTCCGAAGCACTGTTCCAACTTTCACAGAGGAAGCAATTTCAGAGACTGAAGAATTGAAAGCCCCTGCCAAAATAAGCTCAGGGACAGGCACAGGTTTTGAAATATTGTGCCAAGGTTTTAACTGGGAATCTCATAAATCTGGAAGATGGTACATGGAACTCCAAAGTAAAGCTGCAGAATTATCTTCACTAGGTTTCACTGTGATTTGGTTACCACCCGCTACAGACTCTGTGTCACCTGAAGGGTACATGCTGAAGGATTTATATAATCTGAACTCCAGGTACCATATCTTAAATTCATAATACACGTAATAATTTTCTCATGGTCTTTGTAGTTCACTCCAAATAATTGAGCTAGCTCTGTTCTGCTTTCATTTTGATTACTATTTTCACTTGTGTTTTTCAAAAATTTATAATTATTTTTGTAACATCTCTTGAAAAAAAAAAAGTAGTTTGGCATACCTCTGCTTGCTTGGTTTATGCGCATTCTGATCAACATACCAATCACTTGTTGAACCTTAAGGTTTCATTCTTTATCGTTTATGGGAATGGTAGTAAATTTCCTTTTATTTGGTTCTGAGGGTTACTTTTCTTTTCTAGTCTTCATATTGAACTTTCATATAAGAGATGCTAGTTAGTATCATTATACAGAGTATACTGTGAAAACTAAAAAAGTACTGATTGCTGCTGTCTCACACTTATTTTGTAATCTCTATAGGTTACTAAAAGTAATATAGAATAAATGTGATATGTGGGAAGAAGAAATTATATTACTTCTAGATTTGTATTAGACTACTTTTGTTGAAGGGGTAAAAAGTGTGAACCTTGCAGCTTATGGAATTGCCTTCGTATGTCTATCATATGTGCAGAGTGAATGTTTATATACCGAAGTTTGCCTAGTACGTTATCTCGGTGACATTTTGTATGCAGTATGTTTTCAGATTGGTGAAAATGCCTTCTTTCTGTTCTACAGGGCAGGGGCAATAAAAGTAGTGGGGAGTGTTTTCATGCTGCTCCAAACATTGATCATTCACAAGATTTTGTGAGGAAGGATATCAAAGAATGGTTACACTGGCTAAGGTTAATAGTCTGGACTATTTACTCCATTTCCTAAGATGTTCTTATTATTTGAGAATTCAACTTAAGATTTGTACCACACTATGACTAAACACAATACTGTATGTAAAAGAGAAATGCACATCCTAGAAACTAAAAAGTAGATCCTGAAGCTAGATCATCTCTCTTTTATAGGACGTGGGTAAGTTCGGGCACATTCACATGCTAGATCATAGACTTGAGTTATTGTGCTATGGAAATTATAGTAGAGGTCATAGTACCTTCAAGGGTGTCTCGTGGCATTTCTCGGGATTTTCCATAGAGCAAGTCCTAGTTGCTACCTAGCCTTGAGACCCTTTGTTCTTTTGAGAAATAAATGCACTGATGTCTTCTTGAGTGGGTTCATGGTCTTTTGAGTTTAAAGGCAGTCTGTTAAAGGTTTCATTGATGGCATAAACTTACATTGTTTTTATTTTGACGAGAAAAAAGTAGTATACTTTTACTGGTTGTCTTTTCTTTCCATGGGGCCAGTTTATGCTTTCTAGTGAATTGCTTCTAATTTGGGTTTTCCAACAAGCAATTGGTTCTTTTCATACTTCTTCTTTTCTTGAATTGAATATTTCAAGAGTTCTTGAGATGAGGTTGTCTCATGCATTTCTTATACATATGCTGACGTACAATATCAGTTTGGCCTTTGCATTTAATATTTATGGACGTTCCTTCAAAAATTATGGACTTGTTATATTTTATCGTATTGAAGTGCATTTCCCTTATGTTTCATATGTTGAAAGTTTACTCTAGCATTTTGATGTAAATGTATGAGTGACTGTCACAGGGAAGAAGTTGGGTATGACGGATGGAGGCTTGATTTTGTTAGAGGATTTTGGGGTGGTTATGTCAAGGACGACATAGATTCTACTGAGCCCTACTTTGCTGTAGGCAAGTATTGGGATTCCCTATGTTATACATACGGTGAAATGGATCACAATCAAGATGTTTTAGCATCCATTTAGCGGGTGCCACATTATCAGGCATTAAAGTAAAATATTGCTTATAGTTTTTGGCAGAATTCTGGTTCCATAAGAAGCAGTATCACCTAGTGGCAAACCATGTTTCTAAATCAAAGAAAAAGGGCTTTTGAGAGTGCTCGCCTACTTAGAAAGGACCTAGTTTGCACCTCAAGTATTGGCCTAAAATTAGCATTTTAAGTGGTACATAATACTCAAATGCGTATATGTGATATGATCAACTATATTAGCTTGTTTTCCTTTTATAATCTGATTTTGTTCGATGTCCAGTCAAGAGGGTCAGTAACTGTTCTGTTGAATGATATGCTTGTGGATACACTAGCCATTGTCTATGAACTATAGTTATTTGCCTTCCACGTTCGTATGATACTTTTGTTCACATAGAATATATTTTGTAGGCACTGGAAAGATGCGAGTATTGGCGATTATCAGATCAGAAGGGAAAGCCTCCAGGGGTTCTTGGATGGTGGCCATCTCGTGCTGTCACTTTCATAGAGAATCACGATACTGGTTCTACTCAGGTTTGAACTTCTTTGATCTTGAATCCCGTTATTTTCTAGCCAAGAAGAATATTGATCTGTCCCTATCGGACAGCTGAGGTTAAAATCCACCTACCTCCAACAGCCCGTATCAGATTCAAGCTTGGGTAGGACATTGATCTAAATTTTACCTTTTAACATGATACAATCCAATTGAGAATGAAGGCATTTTCCTACACTGAATTGCTTTCCTTAAATAACGGGCAACTTTTATTTCTAGATGACATTCATGAGAAATCCTGTCGATCATTTCAAAAAAATTTGTTGTTTTAAGACCTCTTTGCTAGAAAACTTAAAGTTCACTACCTGGGTTTGAAATGGGCCCTTCCATACGAGCTCTTCCCAAGTGATGGAATTGGTCTCTTTTACATTCTGGATGGATCACCATATATCTTGAGTTATCTCTTGCTCCTCCAACCTTCCTTTCAGGAATTCAGATAAGTGGAGAGCAGAGAGTAGTGTTTGGACCTTTCTATAGTGTTATCATTACTTTTGATATTTTAGGAGTAACCAGCTACAAATTTTTACTTTCATTCTTTCCTTTTGAAGGGTCATTGGAGGTTTCCACATGATAAAGAAATGCAAGGATATGCTTACATTCTGACTCATCCAGGAACACCAACAGTTTTCTATGACCACATTTTCTCTCACTACCATTCTGAAATTAAAGCTCTACTCTCTCTGAGAAACCGGAACAAGCTCAACTGTCGGAGTAGAGTAAGTATCAATAACCAAGTTGTAGGCTTCATTCACTATCGAACTAGATGTCTGTTTCTGTTCTTCTGTGGAACATATTATCAAAGCATCGATTTGATTTTTCATTTCACAATATAGGTTAAAATTACCAAGGCAGAAAGAGACGTGTATGCGGCCATCATTGATGAAAAGGTTGACGTAAAAATCGGACCAGATCACTATGAACCCCCAAGTGGACCTCGGCAGAGACTACAAGGTCTGGAAAGCATCATAACTTTGTCCACAACGATATTGTGTAGCTATGAGTATATAAAAGTTGATTGCAGGATGATTCAATAAGGAAGTTCCCATATTTTACATCTAAGCAAATCAAAGGGTGCCAAGTTAGAATAATATGTACTTCTTTCTGGAGGTCTGGCAGAGAACCTTGAATTGAAGTTTTCTTGCCATGCATTTCCGGAGTTCAAGGGATTGTCAAAGCTCAACAGACGATCGGAAAGACCTGCTTTCAGCAATAGAAAATTGCAGCGAGTCGGCTAGGTGTGGAAGTGGTAAGTATGTTTTAGGTTCAAAAGGGCAGTGTTTCTATCATGTACACTTGATATTTATTGTGATTCCTTCTATGCAAAAACATGTTCTGGTGTATATTCCATTAATGTGTAAACAAGATATCGTTCATTGATTAATTAATAAAGCAATGTTTTTAACTAAAAATGTTGAATTGAAAGGAGCTTGTAGCTCAAGAGGTTAAGAGTATTTACCCATATCCATGAGGTCCTAGTTTTGATTCCTCCTCCCCAATATCGCTTGTATATAAAATATTTTTAAAAACTCATAATGTTTTAATTAGTGCATCACGATTTGTAACGGGAACACAATGACACGTGGGATAACTTCCACGTGTTATTGTGTTATTGGCCAGGGATACCAAAAAGTGCTATTCCCGTTGCATGAGAGTCTCTCTCCATGGACATTGAGCCGACTATAGCAGTTTTATTTAAGCTTATTTACTGCAGTACTCCTTGAAACTTCTGTCAAATCTCATTTTATCCCTTCCCCCCAAAGTTAAAAGTGTCTCACTTAACCCTATTGACTGTGGTATTGTATTTCACTTTACCCCTCACCGTTAACGCTATCCAAAAGGTAGTTAAAAATGTTGACGCGGCACGGTCATTAAGGTAAAAGCTCACACGGTGGCCAATTGTTGAGCATAATCAGCGTCCTACGTGGCAAAGTGGACCCCATATGCTTTTAAAATCGAAATCTAAGTAGTTGAGTTTGTAGATTTGGCCAAAAGAAGAAGCTTCTAAGTCGAAAAAATTTGGGGATTAGGGTATGGAGTGTAAAATCGAAAGGAAGAGGAAAAGAAGAGAGAGAAAGGAGGAGGAGGAGGAGAGAGAGAGAGAGAGAGAGAGAGAGAGAGAGAGTGATAAGGAGCAAATATTGCAGAAGAATCGAATTCTTGGGAGAAGTGCGAATATCGAAAAGACTGAAGAAGACAATGACGGTACGAGAGAAAAAGGAGGTTCTTAACGCCAATACGGTAAGTGGCCCTTGTTGTCTATATAATTCACAAGTAAAGGTATTATCAGCCTATATATCTTATATTATAATCCGTTAAATGTGATTATGACACCAAAGCAATTGTTTAGCAATACCCCAAAAGTGCATATAAGTGTGACTTCCTCGAAGCATCATTATAGATTTCTCTCTCACCACTAATACTTGGTGTTACTTTTCATGCATGATTCAACATTGCTTGTTCCTTTGTAGATCTATTGGGTGCATATATGAAACTTGTACATTATTAACTCCCATGATTAATGTGTTTGGATGACAACATTCTGCCTTCATCTTATAGGCAAACATGCTAGCTTGAATGTGAGTCATTTTCTAGTTGTCTCAGACGCCCAAATTTCAAACCATTTTTCTTTTTCTTTTTTTCTTACTTTGATTTCATCTTTTAGCTTCCACGCACTTTCCCAAATTTCAAAACCATTTTTCTTTTTCTTTTTCTAGTTTCGCTGCTTGCTTGCTTCTGCCTTGTGCCTTTGTTGGGGTTGAGGATGCTTTGGGAGGCTGTGGTGGCGATCATTTAAGGGTGTGGTGGCTAGCTGGGGTTGAGTTGGGTTGGGGGGGGACTGTTCTTGAGTGCTGGCTGGTTGGGGAGGGGATGCAAGTTTGGACCAAAATACCCCCTAATAGATAACAAAAGTTAGAATAATTTGATGGAAATTAGAATTGTCCTTAAATTACTACAATAATTTGATTGGATAACATGTTCTTTACAAGTGGAGGTGGCTCCAAGGCATGGAGATAAAATATTTTTTATTTAAAAAAAAAATAAACAAATCGGAGATTCAGGACGGGTTTGGGAATGAACCAAAAAAGAAAAGACAAAGAACAAAGAACCCCAAAAGAAAAAGGAAAAGACTAGAATAAGTACCAAAATTTACAACAATAAGTACTACAAAAATCGCATACAATATATAGCTGTGTGAGTTTGTTCATTTACCGTGCAAGACAATACATGGTATTATAATTAGTTTTTGCATGCAGGGGCTAGAAGCGACGTACGAGAAGCTATAGGCTGCCCACGTCCACCGAGTAACTCTTCACAAACCAAGTCGGCGTATGTTTTGTTTTGTGTGGGTTTTGCTTTGCTTTCTATAGCAGGGGCTAGAAGCAAGAGGTACGATAGTAAGCTATGGGCTGAGCAAGGGACCACCACATTTGAGATTTTGATGGAGGGCTGTGATAAAGAAGGCCTGTGGATTTGGATCTTGGATGGGATCGATTTCCTCACAAGTTCATACACTCATGCACACACTTAAAAAAAAATTATCATTCATAGGTTTCAATTTTAAAAAAGCAATACACAACACAACATCCTCCAGTCGAGGCATGTCACTTCGTCAAAATATCATTACATTCATTTCATTTGGTAATGTCTCTTTCAGAGAAAAACTAACTAATGGCTATATGTTCTACAGAAAAAATAGAATCCAAAATGGAAGTCGTACCAGTTACTTTGTTGGACCTTGATCAAACACCCATTGTAAGTTAGAGATCCAAATCTCAAAATCATCTATTGAGTCTTCGCACAGAGGGCCCACGACCGGATCTGGAGCCTCAGCTGCAGGGGGAAAGGTTATATCACCAAATGGACCCTCTGGGGGAAAAGTTAAACCAGCTAATGGAAATGGAGCCTCAGGTTATGGGGGAAAGGTTAAGTCACCAAAATCTGCCAATAGAGTTGGTGGAAGAGGAAATTCTTGGGAGGAAGAAAGGCTCAAAGATGAACAACTAAGAGAGGAGGAGGAGCTGAACGTGGGAGAGGGAGAGGGAGAGGGAGAAGGATAGGTAGAGGCAGAACTCCGTGCCTTTTTCTTGACATAGCCACAACGGGCTGGAACGTCGCGGACTCTGCCGCCGACGGTCTAGCTCCGGTTGCAAGAATTGCAGAAGTACCTTGGTTCCTCGAGATTTTTGTTGTTATAATGGGAAAATTTTGGTGGATTTGGAGGCACAACAAAGGCACTGTAGACCGCTGGTTTGTGGCGGTGGTGCCACACCAAAAAAAGGCCCTCTTAGGCATTTGGATTATGGGGAAAGTTACATTATGGGGAAAGTTGATTTCTGGGCAAACTGGGTCTGATGGTATGAAAAAGTAGCAAAAGAGAAGATAAACAGTGTTGGGGAGGGTTATATAGTCATTTACTATGCACATATTTGTACAAATAATTGAATAAAAACGTGTCTTGGTATATATATATATATATATAAAGCAAAAGAGAGAGAATGGTGAAATATTCAAAATACCAGAAAATGCCCTTGATTTGCAAATATTAAGAATTGAAATTATTAATTAAATGAGGACAATATTGTAAATTCACACCTTTTCTTATTAAAAAAAATTAAAATTAAAAGAAAAATTAGATAATGAATCACATTTTTATGGAACACAACTACCTATATTATATTTTCTTAATTCTAAAAAAAAAAAAGAATAAAAAAAGGAAAGAAAACCAATTGGCACATGCGTGAGCATGCGCGAAGGGGCTTGTTAAGAGAAACGCAAAAGGGGTTTTCATTATTTTTCTTTGGCTTTTTTTTTCCCCTTAATATTTATTAGAATGGCATATTATACAATTACTTATTTGGAGGGAGAAACTCAAAACTAGCCATGTAAATGCTTCCTAGTGTGTTAAATTTTTTCTAAAATCAATTAGAAAATGAAAAGTGGAATGAATTGTTGCCATATGGAATTAACATAATTCAATTAACCAAAAACGAAAAGGCAAAGAACAATGAACCCCCCGAAGAAAATAGAAAAGACTATAACAAGTATCAAAAACTCAATCTTCGGCCCAAGCATTAAGGTGGAAAATTTGCACATGGCCCCAAATCTTAAGGTTTGGTATATTTCTTCCTTAAGCATTTTTGCTTGTACCCCCTTATTCATTTATGCATTACTTTATAAATTACCCTGATTAGGGTAGTAAAAAGTTTCATACTCTAAGACTAACACAACGATCGTTGATGGTGGTGGATACTGCATAAGCGCCTTCGAAGCTGTAATAAAATCGTTACCATATGATGTTTCATACGATTTATATCCTTATGCAAAGTCTAACGGTGAGAACGCTTGCAGTTACAATACCGGTTGTTGTTGGTCAAGAATATTCAGAAATGTGAAGAAGTCATGAAGGAGCTCGAGAACACAATTAATTAGTGGAACAGAATTATTAAGTTTTCATAATTGCTGTATGATAATTAATCAAATAATATAGCTGGGCATTGTATATATTCACCTTAAAACAAATATATATATATATATATATATATGTGTGTGTATTATAATTTATAAACAATTAGTAACATGGATTACTTTAACCAGATGTACCAAATCTTCATTTTCTCCTCAACACTGAAAGGAGAATATTTGTTTTGTGAGGTTTAATCAGTGTACAAAAACAAAAACCGACGTCTAAAACATAAACAACGACGTTCCCATAAACTAAAAGAAGTTTAAAGCGTATTATATGTCATTTGTCTCTCAATAACCGCCGTAACATGACATAACCACGTCATGCACCTTTACTCACCGAGGCTTATGTAGTTATCCTCATCGATAACCACAATAAAACCAATGTGTTAACAATTTTCCACGACTGTTTCTTGCGGACTGGTCGTGGAAATTGATCAAAGAAGGCCCTTTGACAGAGTTAGACGTCACTTTTTATAAATAACCGACGTGTAAAAGATTTAAAATGACATTATATTACTCAATATCGATGTACAAAGTTTCCCACACGGCGGTTTTTCTCAAAGGATGACGTTATAAACAGTATTTAATGCGTGGATAGGAACACAACCGACGTGGATTATTTATACAACGACCGTTGTGTTTAAATAAAGGACGTGGTTATTTATTTTACTACGTCTGGAGATCCAGCTTCTTGACGTTGTAATTTCTTACCACGTTGGTTTTGATAACATAATGACGTGGTTGTCCTTTTAAAAGTCGCTTGTTTAACCTGCCTTGACGTATGTATGCGCGAATACGTCAGTTGTTTTAAACTAGCCGACATGCAGAACATCTGTCATGACAGTTAATGGAACTGAACGGCCTTTATTTAGCTCTTTAGACGACGGTTTATTTTAAGCAAACTGTCTTGATTTCATTTTCAGATGTTTATTTTTTTTGTTTCACGGTCTTTTGCCTTTTAAAACCCGATGTTGTTTTTATCTTAGACATCTGTGTTTCCAATTTTTTTACCGGACCGTCATACTTTTCAGCTTTAACCCAGCTTTTTTAATTTTTAATTTGTCGTGCCCAAAGCCTGCATAATTAAAATGTGATCAGGATTAAAATGTTGTACAAAATTATTAATTAATATCATACAATTAACTGAATAATTAATGTCATACATTACAACAATCAATCAATCCATATATCTTCACATCCATCTCTAATATTTTCATTCCCAAACTCATCACCCACTAGGTCATCAAATGTGTCAACATTTGGTATCCCTATAGTAAATGGCTCACACTCAATTCTAGTATCACCTAGCACATTATCACCAATAACATCATTATATTCTATATTAGGCATTGATAACACTACTGACCAACCACGATGCATTGGGTCGCAACATGAAATACTTGTTTGACTTGAGAAGCCATAACAAATTGGTCATTCATATGTCCAATTTTACTCAGATCTACAAGGGTAAATCCAAGTTCGTCGACTACAAGACCCGAAGTGTTATCTATCCAATCACACCTTAAGGCTGAGATTCTAAACTTTTGGTAGTCAAGGTCCCAAATTTCTTGAATAACACCACAAAAACTCATATTAGAGACAATAGAGTTTTTATCCTTGGCACTAGCAACTTGCATAATACGTGCAAGTAAATAAACTCCACTATTTTGGACAGTTCGCACATCATCTTGTGCCTTGGTGTTAAATTTAACACCATTAATAAGATAGCTCTTATATGATGGCACTGCCATGCTTGGACCAGCTGCTAGCCACCTCAAAGTTTCTGATATGCCATTATGCTCTTCCTCATTAAGTTCATTTTGAACATACAAATTAATCATATATATCTTAATTGAATATAACATATAGAATGGAAGAAAATTAAAAGTTGAATATGCATGTCATTCAATAACATATATATACCTTGAAGTGGAGCCATTGAATGAAAGTGCTATTGTGCTTTTTTTGCAGCCACTTTGTTCTTTTTCTAAATTTTGGATATGTGATCTTGATGTGGATCATATGTTCCCTACATTGACACGAAAAAATCAAGCATTATTATGACCCCTTGTATATATGATAAACATAAATTGTATTTGAGTGGAAGGGCAAATAGGTCATTTGTGCCCCGCATATGCCAAGTGTCGGACATGCACAAGGTTCGACTCGAACTCCAAAGTGGAATTTGGGTCGGGTCCTGTCACTACATGTCCCCTGAGTCTTGCTAGGAATGAGGCTCGGGTTGACTTTGTGTTACCGAGGCCTGTGAGGATGTGTCACATTATGTGACACAAGGAATTGACGGCATAATATGGGAAATAAATAGAAAATCATGGAATTGATGGTACATTGTTGGAATTGATGAAAAATTGGTGGAATTGACGGTTCACAAATGGGGGTACCCCTAGGTAGAGAGTATTTTGGTTTTAAGATGTTTAAACTAAAATTGATGATCTTATCTTGGTATTTTGTATAAAATTTTTAATACCTATTTTCTAATTTATGAGATAGGGATTGAAGGTTTCCAAGTTTTAAGGATTTTCTATAATTCATATCTATTTCCTTAAGTGATGAAATTGTTTTTACATATGAAAAAGGGAAACATGTTTCATTTAAATTATTGATATTGACATTAAGGTTTCACGTGGTCAATACTATTTTAATAATCATCTCGTTTTCCTACTTATAAGTAATAAGTTAATTATGTGTGTGTGTGTGTATATATATATATATATGCACATGTGGGATGAGTAGAAGATTGTTCTAACCTCAATAGCCCTTGATTAAGTTTCGGTGGATTGATCTGAATTATTTATGAAGATTTCTCGACTTTATTTGATTAAGTTGTCTTTGTTTACTTACAATTTATGTAGAAAGAACTACATATGGCTTGATCTCATAGCAAGGGTACGTAGGCAACCTATAGTTACTTGGTGCAACCACAAGATCAAGTGTTGAAAATTTTGTTCAGTTAAGTTATATTGGAACTTGATAACATATTCATGTTGTTCTAAGAGTTGAGACCAGATTTGATGGTAGAATGATTTTTTTTTTTTTTCTGTACAAAGAGGTCTAAAACTATTTCAAGTTATTGGTCTGATGCATGCTGAACATTTGGGATTTGGTTTTCAATATTAATTGTTGATTTACAGGTGGATTTTTTTTTTTTTTTGGGAATGTCCGTTTTACAGGGGAGATTTTGCCGATTTTTTGGTAGAAGTCAAACAGTAAAAGAAATTTGAGTTTTAATTAGAAGGGCAATTTGGTCAAGTGTGCCCAGCACATGCCAGGTGTTGGACACGCGCAGGGTTTGGCTCAAATTCCAAAGTGGAATTTGGGTCGGGTCTTGTCAATTTTAATTAATTCGAGTTCTAAGTTGGCTGACTTTTTAATTCAAGGGGTTAAGTCCGATTAGGGTCCTAGTTTGGGGGTATTTCAGCAATTAACTCTAATGAAAAATGTGAAAAACAATTGAGCTATTTCGGCAATTTCCTGATATACTGATTGTCATAATCATAAAAATATATAGAGGCTTTTACCTTTTAATTTTTTTATTAAATAAATTAATACCTCCACTTTTACCTTAACAATTCC